CTCCCGCCTCGGTCTGCCACCCGATCCACAATGCATCGGACCCTTCATGTTTCTCCTGCGGGTGGTGGGTCCACAGTTGGATGAGTCCATGTATCCGGTTCAGGCTGGGCCCGGCCGGGCCCCATGGGCGAAAGCCTGGCCACCAGGCGCTCGCTCACTCACGGGCCCCAACCCCAGGCCTGGTTCCAGGGCGGGACCCCGGTAACTCTCCGGGCCGGGTACTCCGACTCTTTGTTTTTACGTCCATGAAAGATCTTCTGAACCGTTCTTTGTCTCACCCTTCACCTAAGACTCATTTGTCATGGGAGACCATACCAGGGGCACAAAGTGCCCCAGACAACATAGCTCCTAGGATCATTAGGGCACTCAAACTCCTCCACCACGATAAGGTGACTGTTCACGATAAATTCCCAGTGATCCCACATTACACTCCCTTTGCTGTTCCTTTTAAAATACATCCAAATTACAGAGTCAACAAATATGCTCTGTGTTAGCTAACAGCTACATGTTACGGTGAGTGAATTCCCGGGTTTTGTGGGGCTTTACGCCATTGTTGTCTGTGAAACAAAGAGGAACTTGTTGAATTTAAAACTAAGCCATTGTTATTCTGTTTGAAAATGTCTTTCATTTGATAAACTTAAAAAGTAATGTTTGTTGTTTTATATGGTTAAATCCAATTTTTCCCACCCAATTCTGGTTTCCTGAAAATCACAGGATCGGAACTTGGGTTTGATCACCTGATTTTCAGGAAAATCAGATCAGAGCATCCTTAGTTTTAAGTATTTTCTGTTTCATAGCAGATGACAATTTAGGGGGAGAAAAAAAATTATGTTACTGCTAGCTTTTCCTTAAATGCTTTTTTTCTTGGAGCCTACCATATTTTTTTTATCTTTATAAAATCCAAATCACTGTCTCTTTAGGAGCTGCTTTTCTTCAGTAGTAAATTACTTAATTATCAAAGGAAATTGTCTCCAACTGTTCAGTGCACACTTGTGTCACATTTACCTAATTCAACATACTCATGTAAGCAAAAGAGTTTACACACACACACACACACACACACACACACACACACAGAGGAGTGCGTGATGGACAGAGGTGTCTGCAAAAGTTAAAATGTTTAAAAGGAAAAGTGAGTTCCTAGGAGAACCCGAAGCTTTCGCTGCTGCCAAAATTGCTTTTACTAAATACTACGGTCTAAAGTAATTGTCTTTAATGTGCAAAACATCCTAAACACCACAAAAACTTATTTTCCCTGCTGATAAAAACAGCATAGATGGCTACCAGCATCTGTTGTGTTTTGGTGCTGGTTTAGCTGGTGGACCAGCATCCCATGCTGGACCAGCAAACCAGCACCAAAACACAACATATGCTGATAACCAGCTATGCTGGTCTATGCTGGTTTATTAGCAGGGTCTGTGGATGTAAAAGGAGTTTAAATCCATGTGATGATGAGACCAGGACATTAAAACAGAAAAATACAGATAATTTATCAATCCAGAAGGTGAAATGAGTGAGTGAGATCCTACCTAGATAACACCTTTTATTGCCCCCTGCCATTTATACTAATGCTGTTTCTACATTTACTCTTTAGGCAGGAGTGCTACTTGATTTCCTGGCAGGGGGCAATCTGACTGGAAAAGTCAAGGCCAGATAAATGGTGTTTGGCTGAGGTCTTTGTCTGTTTGGCCTAATGCAGACACACACAGGCACACATGCAAAGAAAAAGCACACACTATCACAAGGCCTTGTACTTGAGCCTCATCATCACCAGAGCAGCCCAGATGGTAACGTACCCTTGACAAAGACTCACATCACACTCCCATACTTCTATTGAATCATTCTCACACTGTTGTTCCCTGCACATGTCCTTTCTCTGTCTTCTTCTTCTCCAAGGAATAAAAAAGCAAGCAGAGATAAAGCCATCTAAATGTTTTCTTAATTAAATTTTGCAATGTGCTAAACTCTTGCACAGTGATGCAAATCCTGCCAGCTGTGTAAATGTGACTATAATCCCTCGGAGGTTAAAGGTTCGCTTCAGACTGACACAAAACCAACAACTACAGTATTTCATATATGTCTAAAATAGTTGATCGATAAGGATCCAACTGTCCTCAGTATTGGGTGTTCAGGATTTCAGTCATCGCCACATATTTAAATGTAAAATGTGACAAATCTAAATGTTTCACCGTTATAATCACCAAATCCCAATGTGAGATCTTTATTACTTAGTCTGACAAAAATGTCAAAAATCCAACTGAAATCCAAATACCTGCTTTACAATTAAAACAAAAACACACCAATCCATATGACAAGAATCAATGTTTATGATCTGAAATGTTATATTTTATTAGCAATTTTCTGCCACAAATTAATTTTCACTAATAAATTAAAGTGACAGTGTGTATTTTCCCTGGCGATAGGGGCAGTACATAACTAAATCATTGCAAGCGAACTGAATTTTTGTGTTTATGTTATGGCCTCGGCACACTGAAGGCGACAAACAACTGCGATCAAGGAAGCTTTTCGCTGTAGCTTTGATAACCTGGCACACAGGAGGCAAGGTACGGCAGTGGCCAGCGGCAAAAACCAGCGACGAACTCTGCAACAGGATGAATAGCGAGTCTTCCATTGTTTGATTGGCTGTCAGATTGGAGGGAATTTTGGGTTACTGAAGCGGTTCAGAGTTGAAAAAGTTGTAGATATGAGGTCTCGAAAGGTTTTGCTAGAGTTCATCCCATATTACAAACATAAACCAACTCACTGACAATTTCCCATGCCGCTGCCTTTTTGTGAAGATCTCTATGTTCTTTTGTATAAATTTTGTAAAGCTCTGGGAAATCCAAAATATCAAGTATTATTAACTTTTACTTCATGTTTGTCCGGAGATGTACTGAGAAGTATCCTGTCCGCTTATTGATCAGTCAATAAAACCTCCGCTGATTGGTCTTTGTCCGAGTGACAACGATGAAAAGTTGAAAATTCATAACTTTCTGGGATTGCGTCGCTGACTCGCCTGTGCACGACACATGCATGAGGGCAAATTTCAAAATGCACGTTTTACGCGTGTCGCTTAGTAGGAGGGAGACGCAATTATCGCACATGTCTGACTGGAAATGAATGGAGGGGAGGCAATGTCCCCTCTCGTGTGTCGAACCCATAAGACCTTACCAACGGATCACCGTTAGGGTCAAAAGTCCCTAGGAACGCAACCTCCAGCAAAATGACAAATACATCAGACTCCCTTTCATCACGGGCAACGAGTGAAGAGGTAAATGTATAGAACAATGACGTTTAGGAATGGCGAAGTTTTTGTAACGGTTTGTTATAAATCAGTAAATGCGGGCTCCCATGGAAGGAATGATGGCGCCTAATACAGCGTCACAAAACACTTAGAGGTGTATTTTAGACCTCAATTTTATGGTTACATGTTACAAAGCCTCCAATATTTTCAAACAACTGAGCATCATTTTATTCCTTTTTAGCAACTTTTCAATGACTATTTCCAGAGATTAACGTAAGAACTGCACACTGTCACTTTAAGTAGTGCCATTTCTAATAAGGTGCTTTTACTGAGACATTGTGTCGCAAAAGGCCTTGTTAAATCTATGTGAAACAGGAAAACAATTCCACAACAATCAATGGCCACTATTGATTACTTAAGAGAATAAATCAAAAGAACTACAAGCAGCAGCAGTTAGAGCCTTACTGCCGTGTAGTTTCCTGTGAGATAAAACTCAGCGCTCTTGTTGGAAAAAAAAATAAACCTGCACGATGAGGTTAAAAATGAAACTTTACAGAGCAGGGATTAACCATTTCCAGCTGAAGAAGATGTGTGCACCATTAGTGTAACTCAATCAGGGTACTAATTCAATCAGAGGCACAGTGGGCGTCTTGACGTGCGGGCATCTGTCACACCAACTTCTCACTGCATCCTGCTGTGATATTTGGCCACAAAATTCAGCCTGACACAGACCCTCAAATAGCCCACAGTGTCAGAAAAAAATAAATACACACATTCACACACACAGCTAAATTCACAAGATCACGCTTTCAAAAATAAATAAATGAACAAGGCTCTTTGTGATACGATGTCCATTCAGAGGCAGAACAAACCAGTTTCCCAGCATAAATCATTCTTTTTAATGCTTGTGTGACCAAATGCTTGTAAACATTTTCTGTTTTTAAGAACGAAAGACAAAGTTGAAGCTGTGATGAGATCTCACAAGGACAGCAGAGGTGAAGCATGAACCAGAGGTGCATCGGTGACAGATTTCAGTGCTTTGTGCTTAGCTTTTTAGTTCTAAACGATCACTTCGATTATACACAACATGCACATTTAGAGCTGCCGAGAGCTGCAACAATGGTTTGCATCCTCCTGAAACTACAAAGAAAACAATAGCTGGTGTGAAGGGCCGATGACCCCACAACTTCCACAGCGTCCCTGCTGGTTTCCTTTAACCTAATTTCTTATAAAATCTACTTATAATGTAAATAGGGTGAAATGACTGGCTTATGAAAAAGACTGAGGTTGTAGATAGTAGACAAAAGGACTGCTGTGTTGTACTGTCAAACTTTTATTTACCCTCTTTTCCCCTTCTAACGTCCAGCAATGGTCAGTTTAGGTACTGTTTGACCATTCAACATCTGCTCTTCATGTCTATGGTGGTTCCTGTCTTAAAATAGAGGTTCACACACACACATACACACACACACACACTTGTATGTATATGTTTGTGTTGACCTCCATTGACTTCCACTCATATTAGAGACCACTATGCCTAACCCTAACCAATGAGTTTCTATTCCTAACTCTGACCTACAATAACCTAAACTAAAAGTTAATTCACACCACACCTCAAAAACTAAGTTTTAGGGTGCTTGCCAATGTGTGGACCAGCTAAATGTCCCCACAATGTGGAAATATCCACACGTTACAGGTTAAAGTTGAAATGTGTCCACTTAAACATATAAAGACAAGTACACACAGGTAGACTCACCTTGCAGCTGTGGGGTTTTAGGGGTAGTCCAGAGGCAGGATTTCCTTGATGCTGAGTGGCGTTAGTCTGCTGGGGTGAGTGGGAATCCTCAGACTCTTTTCCACTGTGGTAGACCACCCTATCAGAGATATGAATACTTGAAGCACAGCCCATGCTTCAACCCACTTCAGTCTGGTTTTTTTCCTTCCTTTTTGCGCAAGTGCGTTACTTTGAGGCCCTCTGTGTGTATTCTGAAGGTCCACTCTTCCTTTGCCTCAATTATTGATCTAGAAATGCATATATGGATGTATCATCTAGGCCACAGCAAAGCCGGTTCTCCACTTGCTCTGACATAAGGCATGAATAATTATCTATCTAACCCCCACCCCTCAACCAGGAAACTGATTTCCTCCCTCTTTTTTTTCACATGAACTTAATTGGAGCTCCTCAATCAAAGCAGCTGTCTTGTCCTGGAAAATCTGGGTTCCGTTATCCTTCAGCTGCTCCGATCCCAACAGACGCTTTTATCCATCACTCCGGCTCCTCTTCTCGCTTTCAACTCGTACCACATCACCATTTTTCCTCAACTTCACCGCTAATCAAGGCCTAAAGCAAACCACGCAGTCCCCCAAAGCCAGCCTTACGCATGAGTTTTATCCATTTTCTGCGTCCGATGAGATTCTCTTGCATCCCGCAGCCACCAGAGATAATAATAATAACAATAAAAAAGATAATAATAATAATAATAATGACTTGTGTGTTTTCCCTCCTTCAACAATCTGCTGGAGCCACTTCAGCTGAAGACACGGGCCAGGAAAGCGGTTCTTAGCATACTTTACTCCAGTCCTGAGCGGTTCATCATCAACAGGCTGAAATATTCACACTGCGGAGTGTTATTCCGGTCAGTCGCTCCCATGTCAAACAGCCTCCGTGAAACACAAGGCCATGTAGCCCAACCGGACGCTCCATTTATCAGCCCAAATCCACTAATTTAGGAAGCGGAGAAATCTTAGATGACTCGCAGTCTCCATTCAGGCATCCGCTGCCAGGCTGAGGATGATCCGCCTGATATAAGAGGTCCAAACCCGGGAGCAGCTGGGCTACAGTCCTACCAGGATCCGCGATTTCTCCCTCATTCTGGAAATTTTATACAAACATTAATCTAAAAAAAAAAAAGATGTAGAGGCAATTGAACTGCAACGTGCGGAGGTACCACCTCTGGAGAATGCAATCGCTTCAGAGACACACGGAGACGGAAAAAAAAGATCTTAAAAAATAGAAAGAGGAGAAAAAACGCTCCGTGTCCACAAGTTTCAGATCTGAAATCGAGGGACGGAAGGATTATTTCAGGCTGACGCGAGCGGAGGGATAAGGCAAAACCGAGCTACATAATGCTAATTTGATGTTTGTCTTTTCTCTGCCTTTTCTGGCGTTTGCCCTTCCAATTCTTCAGCGCTGCTTGACAGCGGCACATCCAATAAAAGCACCCGCACGGATTGACCTACAGCCTTTGCTGACGTTAATGCAAATGAGCTGCGAACGGCCAATCAGAACCGCGCTCGGTGGCGCGGGGTGGTGCTGCGCGCGCCGTGGGAACTTTGAAAGCAGGAAAACGGATTGTTCTGAGGCTCCAGCAACGAGCTGGCCGCAGGTCTCGTTCCTCTGACCGGGGAACCGGCGCTCAGGGGACTTCACCCGCTCCACAAATAACTGCGACGTCATTTTAGTGGATAAAGGTTTGAGCAAGTGAACAATCATCGACAAACGGTTTAAACACGTTTTCATTCATCCAAAAAGGAAGTAAAAAACTAAACAGCTTTCTGAAAGGGTGTTTTTTTTTCAGGTGAGAAATTACGATTAATATATTTAGAAATTCTTGTCCAAAAAATTTATAATAAAAAAGTAAAACATCCAGCATAACTCAAATGGCTTTGCTAAATCTAAACTTTTCTTGCTTTGTGTGTTTACCAACATGATCAGCAAGGATCAGGGCTTTTTCTTTCTTTTTCTTTCAGGCTTAAAAATTATTTCCATCATCCATCGTCAGCTTGTACGATAAAATCTCTGTTTTAACTCAAATATTACTCTAAAAAATAAATTTGACTTTTAGGATTACAAAAATAGGGTGATGCCGATTGACTGGCTTTTCTGCCAGATATGTGATACAAATCATCAGTGTTGTGCAGACACTTCTGCCCATCACGCACTCGTGTGTGTGTGTGTGTGTGTGTGTGTGTGTGTGTGTGTGTGTGTGTGTGTGTGTGTGTGTGTGTGTGTGTGTGTGTGTGTGTGTGTGTGTGTGTGTGTGTGTGTGTGTGTGTTCAGTAGATTTAGAGATCTGTGCTTTGAATGTTTTTGAAGGTTCTTATTGTCCGTGAATGCACCATTGCCCTGCAGCAATAAAATGCCAGATATTCTTCCCTTGCACTTTCATGTTTTTCAAGTAATTTTCTTAAGTATTCTGTTATAAATCTTTGACATAGTCAAACACAATTTATATTAGGTCACACCTGTGAAACATCTGAACTCCATAATGGCCCACAAAAACAGAATTCAGCCGCGCTACTTTTTTTTTCATTGTAAGCCTTTTAAATTTGAATATGGTTGCACAAAACTGTATTCTTTTGCCAGTTTTGGGTAGATTTCGGCCTTTCTGGTATGACTGGACGGGATTTACATTAAATATCTCTAATATTTAGAGTTGCAGAAGTGGCAGAGATAGTGAAGCTAAGTGCTTGAAAGCCTGAAGCATTTCTTACAAGGAGGTCATGTTGCTGGTCAAGATTGATTGATTGTTGTTTGCAATTCTAGACATTTATAGTCTTAGAAGAATGGGCATTGAACATTCCCCCTCTCCTTATATTAACTGTTTACTTTCTTTAACATAAAATCTACTACTACTATTTCATCTGTTTATTTTTTGTGTCTCTTCTCTTCTCAAATCCCCAGTGAGTCACAACCAATGGATGCTCACATGAGCTTGGCTCTGTTGAAGGGGAGTACTCTTCTCCACTGTCGCTACATGCCTTCATAGTATGGTGATTGCTGTAAAGACACTGACACAAGTCAGTGACTCGATGCAATCTGCTGGGTTTCCTTACATAGGAAATCTTTAACTAATTGGAATAATGAACTGAACTCAACTCACTGATAAGTAGGTTTAATTGGAATGTTTGTTTTGTAAAGTGTCTTGAGATGATACTATATAAATTAACTGAACTGAATTGATATGCACCAGACTGGAACTTCCATTAACTTTGCTTGAAACATTAAATTTCCATTCAAGTTTAAGTGATACATTTTAAAAGTTACATACAACAATGCTGATCGAAGATGCCCCCTGGCTGATCATTCAGTGCTTTACCTGCAGAGCAGAAAGCTGATGTGCAAAAAGAGTAAAACCAGGTCGATGTGGACAGGATATTCCGATCCTTACAAAGGTACCAAGGCATGCCGATGGCGTGACAAAACACAGAAGAAGTGTGGTGGTGTGTTCTGAATTACTGACATGCATCAGCTGGAATGATGTGAGCGAACGTGCTGCTGATAAGAGAAGAAAAAAGATGCAGGAGCTTTAAAGGAGTCATCCAACACTTTATGTGTGTGTGTCCCTCAAATGAAAGCATATTAAACTTTTATCAGTCACAATCAGCTTTTTTCAAAGTTCTTTCTTTACCATGTAAACTTTTCTTTTGTTGTTTTCACCATCAAACAAGAATCTTTAAATGTGTTCTCCATGTGAGAAACCAACTGGCCTTTACGTGTTAACTCTCATGATCCTCAGGAGGCTAAGCGCTTGACAGGACTGAAGAAAAACACATTTAGTTCAGAGTGGAATTCAGTATAAAAAGATCCTGTATCAGTGCGAAGCAACATCTAACAAGCGTTTACTTTCAATACAAAAGAAAGGTCCTAAAAACAAAAGTAAACTTTCCAACAACTTTAAAGTTGCTATAAATATCAGCCTCCCTTGGATTATAGCCTCTATAAAACCAAAGTTTAAACACATAAGATGAGCCCTGAATAAATCTTGTCAGGACATAAATGACTCCACTGACAGATCGTGTTTTATGTGCTACGCTAGTGAAATGCAAGATGGGATGACATGTTTACTGTCACCTTATTTGCTCTTCTGTTTCTCGTGCGTTTGGCTCTCGGTTATCGTCGTTGCACTTTGTGCTGCAGCATTCTTCATCTGTAGGAAAGACTTTTGTTTATGTTTGGTTTGCCGTCTGACGGTGTGTTTTATCTTCGCAATACGCAACGTCTCTTTGTGTCCAAAGTCTCATTGTGTCAGCCTCATAGTTTTAGGTTGTTTGGAGAAGCTAACAAAATTCCTTTTGCACTTTGGGTTGTTGTGTTTGAAGGGTGCATGTGCAAGGGCGTCAGTTTGTTTTCAGAATTGCTGGGGACACTAACCATACACTTGAATGGGGTTTAAAAATTGCTGGGGACAATATAGGCTAGCACAGGGGTCGGCGGCTCTGTAGCTGCATGCGGCTCTTCCATCCATCTGATGCGGCTCTCTGTGCTCTTAAAATAATGAATGGATATTTAAATAAAAAGCTTTATATTTTACTGCATTAATTTTACATCTGTATGCTAATTCTAAATGTAAAGTTTATCTGCGTAAACCTGAACAGTTCCGACCCGGTCTTACTGTGAGACCGGGTTGACGCGTCACGCTTGTGCGTAATCATATGCGCTTCCTGAGCTGGAGGATGTCAGATTCTGGGATTCTCCTCAGACGGCTCCTGGATGCGTCGCCACATTGGAGACAGGAACAAGCACTATTCAGCCAAAGTTTCATCATCAGGGAACATTTTCTAAGTGACAAGTCTGAGAGACCGGGTTTGGAAAACACTCGCTTCAGTGGGAGGAACCTTCTCACATGCGCTCTGGTTCTGAGAGCCTGGATTTGTGAACAGTCTAAACATGTTTTTAAAAGAAACGTATGACAAAAGTGGCACCTGCTCAGTAAAACCACCAACAGGGTGAAAAATATCAAAATATTGTAGACAGAGACGGGCTACAACTTCTGGATCATCTTTATATAAATCGTTTTATAGATTATCTTCTTATGAAAGATAACTTTGACGTACACGAGCGACCAGGCGCGTTGCAAGATTTTCAAAAGTGTGGGAGATGTTGTCTATGCCTAAAATAATTTGATGTTATTCACCTTGTTATAACCCTTGTTTCCATAATAGCGGAGCAGGTGCGAATTTTAGACGTGTCACGCATGTCTCCGTTTTAAACATGTTTAAACTGTTCAGAATCCAAATCCAGGCTCTGTCTAGTTAGATTGGTGTAACTAAAGTTTGTACTGAATGAAACTTTACATTAAACCATGTTGAAAAGAAAAGGATCCGATTAAATCATTTCCCCTCATTTACAGTCACGACGTACAGCGCAGTGCGCGTGGCTCTGGGGTTAATCAAGTTTAGTTGTTTCTCTTTGCAACAATCTTCACAAGAAGGCAAAACAGTTAAATGGCAGGTTACAGATATTTCCATTTGACTGTATTTTGATGGATAAACTCAAGGATGCTGGCTGTTTTGAAAGAATTACCCCGACGCACATGCGCATGGATGAGCTTGGGAAAATGTTCTTTTTATGAAATTATGAAACTTTGGCTGAACAGCGCTTTTTCCCGTCTCTAATATGGAGACGCATGACGCATCCAGTCTGAGGCAGAATAGCAGCTCAGAAAGCACCTGTAGAGACATTTGATCACGCACAAAGTTTATGTGGAGCAGAAGCGGTCGGGCCACGGCAGGTGAAATGTTCCTAGCCTACATGAAGTGAAACTGTTTAATTGTAACATTAATATGTTACTGGACATGCTGGTCTGGTTGGTTAGACCAGTGTTGGAAGTGGAAAACACACACACACACACACACACACACACACACACACACACACACACACACACACACACCAATTAAAATAATGCTGATAGCATGGACTAGAAGACAGGTGATGGTTTTATTTAAATGATGATCAGGCTGCTGTAAAATGTAACCTCCACCCACATCCAGACGGAATGATCCTCTATTCTATTTCCTCTGCTTACATCTGGGCTGATGTAGCTGATGGTGCGCGCGGAGCGCCTAACTAGCGGCTGATGCACATTTTACGCATTTGGAGAGATGGGCTGGATGCTTTGCGTTTACTGGAAGATGGTCCACTTAACGCACGGGTGTACATATTAATGACAAATGAATGAAAATTAAATTGGGAGTTTTTACTTCATATTTTAGAAATAAAAATGACGGGGGAACACATTCATGACGTATTTTTAAACAAAATTTTCTAGCGCGACCTGCCTGCTTCACTAAGTCACTGCTTATTAAGGTCTGTCCAAAATTACGTGGCCCACCCAAAAATGAAAACCTGTTATAAACCTCTGCAAATTGTTGTTCTTCACGTTATCAAACTCAGACTTTGTACAGCTAATGTCAAGATGTAAAATGATGAATTCAGTCGAGCTCTTCCGTCCC